GATATGCAGATGCTTGTGTCTTAGGAAGGTGTAGATTGACCTGTTCCTGGATGCCAAAAACAAAGCCAAGAGGTTCAGCATTATCCTATTCTGCTAAAGAGTGTCGTTAAGTTACATTTCCACAAAATATTATGGCTCCAGCTTTTCCCACAAGAGTTTACATCTTTTACTGATATATATTACTGCTGCTGTCAACACAGTCTAGCCTTTAATGGCTGAAAGCTCAATGTATTTTACTCAATAAATATAAATTAACCCACAGACAAGGAAACATAAAGATGTAACTCTATGTACATTTCATAGCAACTATTTTATTATATTCTGAAGATTAGCAGAAAGAAAACCCATAAACAGAACTGAAACACTCCACCCACATACTGTATGCTTTCCCTGCACGGCCATGATGCCTTGCAACCCAAAAAGTTTCTATCCTCCCGTGAGTCATTTGTATTCTACCTTAAAATATCACACAAACTTGTTATAGAACTACAGTGCAAGTAGATTGATAAAGAGACAAGTCATGAATATTTAACACTACTATTATCTTTTGAAACAAAATGATTGTAGATGATTGGATTAAAAAAAATATACAAAAAGGAGCCACACATTTTTGTATTGTTGCAACTGAATAAATCTGTCAATTTAATTTTCCCCAAGATCTCAGACACCAATCCCTTGACTAGTTCACCTCAGTCGAACTGACATATTGGATTCCACTGAATTTAGAATCTCATTAAACAAATTAGAATATGTTACCATATAACCCCGACACACTAAAAATGGAACAAACTGTTAAACTGTGGTATCCTGTGGTAACTTGCTCACCACATCTGCATCGGGTGAGATTTGCATGCCAAAACAGTCAGGCAGCTCAGCAACAACCAATGGCTATTGGCTCTTGTTGACAATCCCTCCATTTTCAATCAGGTTGCAAAGACGGATCACAGTCACTTCTTCCAATTTTCACTTTGTGAACTACAGCCAGTGATGGCCTAACCAATGGGGGCTACACTGGCCTACACTGGGGGCAACCCCAATCATTTGTGTGTATAGGCAACAAATCCAGTACAAATGAAATCAACAGAAATCACTAGCATACGGGGTACTCTGAAGAAGCAGCCCAATTTTGCAGAAGACACAGCGTCTATGAAACCCCATGTTTGTATTGTGCAATTTTATTGCTGAATTTAAGGAAAGGAAACGTGTGGATAGTGAGCAGGGAGGCAGGGTCCAGCCCCCACCATATGAGAGGCACCATGAACTCGCCTATGTCCACATTAACAAATTACATAAGGCCTTAAGGTGCTTAATGGACCATATGACATGTGACCTGCCAGTGCGAATGTGGATTTGCACAATATATTCAGCTGCTGGTCTTTATCTGTGGCGACCGATGCAGGATTTAATGCTGTTTGTTCAATGACCTGGTTCGTGAAGGCTGAGTTCATACTCAGCTGGCCATAACACTGTGACACTCTAGTGTGTACAGGGGAAGCATGGTATTTGCTGGATGGAAAACGGTAACCTTACATGGCAACTTTAATCTCTTCATGTCATCACGACACAGGAAATCTATTCATTTTCAGGAGCCTGTCTTGCTACTGGACAAGCTTCAGGTTTCACTGCAGTGTCAACATGCCCATTAATGCGTCTAACGTGCTTAAAGTCCTTCAAAGAGGAAATCTGATATGACTCATTGCCTCACCACAGCTCTCTGCAGCCTCTCTTTTAGTCCCCATCTTGTTATCAGCATTCTTGCGGCCCAATATAATCGCTTCCCACTGCAGTACTAATGTGAATCATCTGTGGACTTTAAGTCAGCCCCAAACTAGTTGCCACATACTTTAAGTATGAGCTTATTAAATGTGACCAGATTAACGGACACTTCACACCAACAGTTGAAGCATACAGTGACTCAGCTGACATTGAAAAAGCAGTTCTACACATTTTAAGTGGTACATTCTGTCACAGAAGATTACTCCCCTCCAACAACTCAGAAAATACTCAAATTATTTTCTTGCTAGTTGGAGGTGAGTGATTTCTGCTTGGGAGTGCTTAAACCTATTTAATTTACACAGCTTACTGTATCCTTTAAGTGACAAGAACAGGACTTAATCTATACTTGAAGTGTGGAATGTGTACATGCTTTCTGTCTATGCATAGATGTTTCACTCTGTGGAGGAATCTGCTAGTAAGTAAGTATGTTAGAGACATTTTCAGTGACCAGAACAAAGAAGGTGCTGTAGGTTAAAGACTATGTGAAATGTTTCTGGGTAAAAGGAGCATCCTGGTGATTTTCTCTGTGATCAGTCCAAATTGCAATTCTACAGTATGCAGAGACGTGTGGGCTCTGAAAGATGTAGCAACCATACAAAAACCCACTGATGAGGTCACCTTGTACACTGGCAGACTCAAGTATAAAACATATCAGTCCTTGTAGATTTTGCTATGGCAGTCTCTGTGTACAAACATGATTAACATAAAACTACCTACAATCTGATGGAGGGAAGCAGGAGCAAAGAGCCTAATGCCATTCAGCACTTTGCATAGTATATAAATGAAAATCCTAAACAAAAATGTCCTAAGCAAAAGAGCTTGCAGGATAAAGTTTCACCACATGACCCTGACTAGAGTAAGCGTTTGCCTGGATGGCTGGATTAAATTTTACCACATCTAATTTTATGAAATATAATCATGTCTCCAGTGCAACCTACTACAATTTTTACCAAAACAAAGCATGAGAATTGTAGATATTCTGTTCTTTGATGTCTGCAGATTTTCCTTTTATTTAAATTTATCAGTAAAAATCACAAAACTGAAGCTTCAATGAGGAATAAAAACAGAACCCTAGTGGAATTGTGTTTTTACAACACTTTCACTTTGACTCTTGAGCACTTTCGCAGAGCTTATGGTCCAATTGGGAAATCTGGGTTAACAACTTAGCTGAGGCAGTATGACCTAGAGCTAGAGATACGCTACATATTGGTTAGCATATCGGTATTGGCTGATGTTCATCAAAAATCGAGATATTGGCATCAGTCCGATGTGTCAGTCTTGTTTTGCCAGCTGATAGTTAGACTTTAGTCAATGTTCAAAGTTAACAGTACCAGAGCTAAAGCATAACTTCTAAAATAATAGAGATGATTCAATTGGACGATCAGCCATTTTCCCAAGTGGAGGATGAGGGTTTTCATCGGCTTATTCACCACTTAACACCTCGTTACAGTCTCCCAAGTTGGCACTATTTTGCTGGTGTCTCACTGCCTAGGCTGGTCTTGTCCGATGTAAGTAATCCCTTCAACAAACCCTTACATAAGTGAAATTTTCAGACCATTCAGGGCACCTCATATCAGAAATGCCAAAAAGATACTAATACTACCCACTAAAACCACCTATTTAAAAAAGTGAAAAAATTAAGTGTTACTTTACTTATAGCCATATGTCGCCTTTGTGTCTTAGCACTTCCATAAACTCTAAGGCAGTTTTACCTAAGCTGAGAGCTGTCAGTATATGATGTGGTTGCTACACACATTCACAAGAGGTAATGTCACCAACATCAGTTTCACTACACATTTGTGGAGCTCAGAGGTAAACCGCTTATCAGGAATATTAGACAAAAAAATATCAGTTTTCAGTGTCAGCCAAAATTTCCACGTCAGTACACCACTAGCTAGGGCTCAGTTGCATTAAAACAAATGCTGTGATTGCAAGTAGCTCAACAAACAACAAAGTAATGATAAACAATTTAGCTACTGCAAATATGACTCAATATACTGTATGGCTCCCATAGTATTTTGGTGATGGATGCTGACCCAGCTGCCATTGGCAAATGGTGCTTTTCTCTGCCCCTCTGCATCGCATGAAGTTTTAAAACATATGCAAAACCATTTTCCATGACAAGAACACAAGCTGAAATAGAGGTCAGAGAGATACAGGTCAAGGAATTACATTACAGCTCGGGGTTCCACTTTCATAGGTTCTCCAGTTTCACTGGATGTCAAGAGAGAAACATTCTCATCTCTGATTTTAATAGGAAAGGGAAAGGAAGGCTGCGATTTTAACAGTACTTTTAAAGCTTATCTTTTATCTTAATCTTATGACTTAACAAAAACACAAGAAATAAGTTTCAGAGCTGAGAAATGATAGAGTTTCTAAAAGGAGCTCTGACTGCATTACCATTAATACCGTTTTCCAGGATACAGCTTTGGTCCTGTACTGATGACATACCTGATCTCAAACATCACAAGCTTTAATTCAGGGGATATAAATGCCCTGATATGTTTGTTGGAACAGTACTAAATTAGACCACATTATACAGCCATATAAAAAATCCATTTTAATGTAGCAATTTGGGGCATAATCGAATAATACGTCTTAATCCCATGGTATATTAAATGATGGATTTGTAACTCGAGGTGGAGTAGAGAGATAATAATGAAAGAGAAAGTTAATTGAACAAACAAAAGCTGGGGACTTGCTACAATTTGTCTAAGACAATTCAAATTTGTCAGCTGTTATTAATTTAGTTGCTAATGAAAGTGATGTGGATGCGATACACAGAGGAAGATTGGATTACAAAACAAATTAGCCAGCAATTTGCTGTGAATATCGGCGCCGTGTGGAAACACATTGGATCATAAAAAGGAAAGAAGCGGAAGAGGTCCAAATGAAGTCCGGTGACAATGACTCAGCAGCTGATAAAAATGCTTCCGATTGGCTGCATCTTTAAGGATAAAAAAGGAATAGAGGCATGCATGGCTCTCCTCCCCCCCCTTACCTGTGCTCTGGGACCCTCAGGTGTGAGACTGACAGAGTTCCCCTTACAGCAGAGTTTCCCAACCCAGTTCACTGGGACCCCCAGACAGTCAGAGTTTTTGCTCCCTGTCAGACAGTGCATATTTTTGCTCCCTCCCAGCTCCCGGAATTGAGACATACTGCCCTACCTTACAGGAATCAGTGGTGTGCACGGTGATTTTATGTTGGAGAGGTTACTGACTCACCTGTAGGTGGGAGGTGGACTACCCTGGGCTTCACAGCTGAAGACCACCTCTTGGCTGGACTCCATGGAGCGTAAGGGGAATACGATGCTGCCCGGCTGCTTGGTGAAGGATGGTCCTCGCAGGAGGCTGCTCTCTGGTGTGGAGGGTGGGGAGGGAAAGATCAAAGACTCCATTTAGCCCGCTTGGTGACATTTATCTGAGAAACAGATAATTAGTCAGCAATGGAATGAGCGGGAGACCCATCAGTGAGCTGCACCCCATTCCCTCCCCCAAAAAACACAGTTACCTTCACCTGTCTCATGTCCTGCACTGTTCCTTTAGGATGCGCTTCAGCACATAATAGCACTAGCCCTGATTCATATTCTGCGACAGTGGCTGACACACTGGAATCTACCCTTCCTTTGACGTGTTCGCAGTTGTCCCAGCATGCCCGAGGGCCGTTCACAGTCAAACATAAGCCGCAGACCTTGCTGCCCTCAGTCACCTTTCAGTCTCCATGCAGAGCAGCATGAGACGGGTCTCCATTAATTTGACTCACTTGTGAGCTGCTTGCTGGGGCTCCCTGGTGCAGGGGTGAGGGTCTAACTGGCAGTTCTTTTAATTGCTTTACCTCTGTCCTTAGACCTAAGCAGGATTGTGCATTTACAACACATTATCCCACACAGATTAGGTGTTCAGGCATAGATTTCCACGGCTGACCTATTTGCAACACTTAATTTGAAAAGTGCAATGTAGTTTAATTCATTATTAAGATGTGTTAGTTTATTAAAGCAGCAAATTTAACATTGAGGGGGACATAGAAAACACCAGTCTCAAACAGTGCAGAGTATTTTAAAATACTTAATATTTTAAAACAAAATTCCCAAAATCCGAACTGTGCTCTCTAGTCAGTTCCCCTTTGTCATTCATTCTCCCAGTCTCCACATCAAGGGGATCAGTTCTTTGTCCTTACATCACATCTGAGGCAAGATAACCAAGACTCCTATACTCCGTGTGACATTGCTAAGTGGTGAAAGGAACTCCCAGTGCTGGGACACTCAAACAGAAGAAATTTGACTGATTTAACCCATCAGAGTGCCTGCTTTACATTAATCCGATTTAAATGCAAACTGAGCGTAGTTAAACGCTGATTAAGAAAATAGAAGGAAACCCTTCAGTGCGGAACTAGAGATAATATGTCAGACTCTTTCTTTAAAGTGACCTGTAATTCTCCCGCTTCATTATCAAAAGCAAGACTCTTTATTCCCTCCAAACACTTAAAGCACAATTATGTTTCCTTAACAACGACTGATCGTTTTACATGAGATTTATGTGACCACCACTGCGTGCATACGATTAGCAGGCCAGCGTCAATGCACACCAAGAGAAAGAATCAGCCAGCACTAAATAAATAAATAAATAAACAAACCTTTCAGAGCAACGTTTTGCTCTAGGCAAACAGTGCAGGGAAACCTGCTGTGACCTTGAGAGCTACGTCTCAGGGACGATGCATACTAAATATCCATCAAATGCCTATTCAATTATGCTTGTGCGCATCCCATTGAAAGAACTTCATAATAGTTGGCCAGAATGCAATCTTCCAGTTTGTGGTTTAAAAGCACCAGCATGGCGTCTGCAAGATGCCCAAAGCTGCATCGATTATCTGTTCAATTTCCCATGGCTTTAGAGCAGAGTTATGCTGTGAAGGCAGGGCACTGGGATAATGTGATAAATTGCACTGTCAGCCAGTTTAATTGATCCAGCAGAGGTATTGCAAATAACTTCCTTGCTGCTCAGTACAATATAATTTTTTTATACATATATCTGCCCATGCACTTACTATTGTAATGGAAGCTATTGGAGACCATCCCAACTCAATGCAGCCACACTACTTAGGGAAGGCTGGTCATTCCACATCATGAACAGAACTGTGATATTCTATTTATCACCATGGGGAAATGATGTTTTGCCTTTCCCATCACAAGGCAGGCATTGGCCAATCAGCATCCAGCATCCAGCTCAAGGGTCCCACTGCAAGCCATGGGATTTGAAGCAGGGATGTTTGGATCTGAGTCCCAACCCACAGGGCCACACACTGCTTAGCATTGGCTGTAAATGAAGGAGGATGTCTAACTGGCCTGCTTCGGGTTCCCTAACTGTTTGTCCACAATAAATGTAGCCTGTCTGTCTGCAAAATTTTTAGGTTAAAAAAAATGGTGGAGTGGGGGGGGTGGAGACATAAAACTATTCCTGAGCCAATCAGCATGCATGTCCAATTATGCATGATTATGCGCATGTTAATCTGTAAAACATTTGCTCTCTGCTCTCTCAGATAAATTCATTTTCTGGGGCTTTTATGTCAGTGAACAGAAAGAGATTAGCTAATCATGGTGCTGACTCTCGTGGCGACCATGGTTCCAGAGCCTCCCGTCCTGTGTTCACTTTGTGCGCTAAATGTGAGTTTAATGTTGACATCAAGAATCACCTTCAACCGCGACGAGCTCATGAACATCACAGAATCTTTTCCTTCGGATTTTGTTACTATGTTTTGTGTGATAAAGATGATTTACCAGCAAAGTTTTCACTGACTGGGATTAAGGACGCTGCCTGGCAGGTGTGCTTCTGTGGCCAGGAACAGGGGCCAACAGGCGGACGCTCCGGTTCGCTGGAGAGGGAAGGGTTTCCGCACTGCAGTGCCAGCAATCTGTCTCTTGAACGTCCGCTCTTTCATTAAAAAGATGGGCAACTTAGGGCTACTAAGAAGGACTGTGCCCATATTTCTGCATTCTGTTCACATGCTTGGTCACCAAATACTCTGAGTGGAAAATCATGAGGTGGTGGTGTGTTCATATTTATTAACACGTGTTATACCAATGTTTCCAACATTATCTATTTCTTCTGCTGACTTAGAAGCTCCTTTCATTCATTGCAAGCCATCCTATCTGGCTAGAGAATTTCACTCTTTTATTCTGGTTGAAAGTGACATTTCTCCTAGTGCAAACGCTCAGTGTGCACAGAGACTGTTGACTGATTACATTCATGATCTGGAAAACAAATTGCCAAGTACTGTTATTTTTGTCATTGGGGGTTTTAATCACAGTAACAAAATACAATCTGCCCAAGTACCATCAATTGATCAGCTGCCCCAGTCAAAAGGAGATAATCTGGACCCCTTCTACGCCATTTCCCTCGTCAATCCCTCTCATGCCCAGCTGTAAATGGAAACTTGAGTAGCTCTTTGCAGAAACTTACCAACTTCAAACAGAAGAGACCCTAAGCCTCCCCGTCCTTCACCTAGATCCAACCAGCTCAATAAGTTTCACTGTCAGATTGACAATGACAGTCAATGTAAAAGCCCATCATGACCTGGACTACAAACCATCTCCACAGAATCTTTCCTGTAGTCATTCACCTTCTTAGTAAACTCACCCAGCATCCCAGTAATCCCATCACCCAGGCACAACTCCCCTCTTCCCACGTCTAGACATTTCTCTCCATTATCTATTTGCACTGCTTCAGTAAATTTGTGTTACAGTGAACAATAGTTGTAGTTTCTGCACTACTTCAGTTTATTGATCTGTTCTGCATTTTGCTTTTAGACATTTTTGCACTGTGTGTTTTCTGTAAATTTATATATTGTATTGGATAATTTGGTTTCATGTATATTGTACAGTGAAGTATTTCTGCTAAATGTCATAGAATATTGTCTCATACTTCACGTTTGACACTGAACCACATTAAATTATTATATGTTTGTACTGGCAATAAACTATTCTGTGTTCTACTTAACGAAATGTTGAACACATTGTGACCCATTCTGTATAACATTTTTTCATTTTTTTCCAACCTTTTCATGTAGTAAAATGTTCTGTAAGTGTCATTCATGATTATCCAACCTAGCATATATGCCTTTTAATTAAAGACAGACTAATAAAAGGACACACAAGAGAATTAAGAATGAACATGTATAGTTTTCATTTTCCTTTTGTAGTTTTCATAAGTGACCATTCAGTAAAAGATGGTTCATTAACATATCGTATATTCCACTGAGCTTGGATAGTAGCCCTAGACATTTTATACAAAAAATCATAAAAGGCATTTGGCTACATATGATTAAATTCAAGTTTAGCAGAAATAAATGCGAGAAGGAGGGAGATGTGCTCTCCATGTGGCTGAGGAAAGGGCGCAAGTTACTATTACGATTCTTCCGGCAGTTACTTGAAATATTAATACATGTAGGACTGACTTTTATTAGCAAAAGCCCTTCAGCTGCAGTTCAGCCTTTAATGAAGCCCGGTATGAACTGCACTTTAAAATAATATCAGCTTCCTTTTGTGTTTTGCCTCAACATATATTTGAGCTGACTTTCCAAAGATGGCCGCGGGTGACGAGACTCCACGTGGAACGGGGGCACTGACATTGTGGACTGAGCCGTAAAACACAGCATCAATCTCTCATTCTTTGTGGAACTTTGTGGAACCCCAGCCTTCTATATATTGATAATGGGCTAAGCGCTATGATGAAATAAGACTGTGTGCATTAACGGTGCTGTATTCAGGCCAAAATGTCTCCTTGCTCTCTTCCTGAGTGTATAGTGAAGCCCTTCATGTAATACTGTACCACTCTTATCGACTTAACGAAATGCGACAATGAGCACAACCATGTACCCGAGTCTCTGACGTCACATAGAAGCTCAGAAACGCGTCACACGCTTTACTATTCAGCTGCTTCGACATTTCAAATAGATGGATCTTATAAAATAACAAGTATCCTAAGAAAAAGTACAAGAAACTGTTATATTTCATCAGAGGTGGACATTTCAGGTCCAGAAAGTAAAAATCCAAACCAGGATTTTGTTTCAACCAACCAGCTTAGCATAAAGAGTCAGAGTCACAGAGTACTCAACTGGTTGGCTGAAACAAAATCATAGATTGGATTTTTACTTTCTGGACCTGAAATGTCCGCCTCTGTATTTCATTAGGGTTAGAGTTGACTAAAACTGACTGAAACTGTTATACTAGACGCCAGTAATTTTTTAAACAACACACTGTCATGGCAGCGGGGCAGCAAAAGAGGGTGATGATCCTCTTTGCGGTTCCAAGACAACACAAGGACTTTATTAACCAAAAATAATAAACATACACTCAGACATAG